GTGGACGAGCCAGTGATCTTGCATATTGTAATTTCTTCTGTTTATTCATAGAGATCCATTTGTATTTTATTAAATTGTTTTTGAGTGTCAAAGGGTGGTTTGGATGATGATCATTAATTGATTGAATATCACCTAATATGATCCGTTCATTCATTGTTAACGGATTACATGTTTATAAGATTTATAGCGAACAGAATTGTTGCTTTGATGAGCTTTCAGAAAAAGGCTATCAATGCTATTTCTTTAGGGGCATCGAGATCTGGCCGTTCTAGTATGTTGCCACTTCTGTTAATATGCACATATTTTGGTCTTTGCTCTGGCATGCCAATTGACTCCTCTTGTTTATGCGGTTCGGTTACTGGGATGAAAAGTTGTAACTGATATGATATAATAAGATCTTTTATATTCCAATCTCTTGTTTATAAAGTGGCTTTATGTAGGACTGTATATGGCTCTACTAGAACCCACCCTTTGTTTCATTTATGGGCTTGTTTTGACTTATGCTACTTAGGAGAGTGAGAGTTAAGAATAACAAATATAAGCTTGGCACCGGTTGGCAACTAGTGATGGCATATTGGTGGAAAACACCAGCAGGATGCTCATTGCCTCCGGAACTTTAAAGAACTGCAGAATTTCGGCATGCATATTTTCTGGTTGGACGAGATTGGAAAAATCAGATTTAATTGTCGCTGCTTCCTAGTTTGGGAATTAGACATGGTCCAATCTCTAGTGTACATGACTGGACAATGAGACTATGTTTGAAAGACAGTTGGGAGGGAAAGAGGGATGATGAGAGCGCATCAGCAAGATAGAGGGCTCACAATGTCAACGGCATCCTTCGATGAGAGCATCTCCAGTGTAGCCCACAACATTGAATGAGTTTCATTTTCCGAATATCAGCCTCAGTTCTTTGGCTGCAGTTTCATTTTCCGAATATCTTTGGATTTGCATTTGTTTTTGTGCTGTCCTAGCATAATGTTTTACTTTGTGGGAGTGGTAGTGTTTCCTTCTGTATTGGCATCTTTGGAGGATACATGCCCTTTGTTATTCTATTTTTTGGCGCTGGAGGAAGGGAAATATTCTAATGTAGTTTTTGCAATAGTGTCTGTATTTGTTATTCTTCACTAAGGAATGTTATTGAGAGATCATTTGCGGTGTTAAAGAATCGATTTTTCATTTTGAGACACATGCCTTCATTTTCAATTCAAAAGCAGTCATGTATTGTAATTACGTGTTGTGCTATTCATAATTACATCCGTGATCAAGACAAGATGGATAAGAACTTTTCCCAATATGGTGATTCAGAGTACCCGTTTGGAAGTGCACAAGATGAGGTTATTGACGATACATCGACTGAGGAGGATATGGAGATCAACATGCTTAGGAAAAGAATTGCCAATCAATTGGCAATTGATAATAATATGACGGAGATTCCATGAAAATGTGTTTCCGACTTTTCTAATGTATTTCCATTATTTTGTATTTGAGGATTTTTTATGTTGGCTCTTGTAATGTGACGTGATATTTTGGGATCTCCTACTATATTGGCTCTTGTAATGTGATGTGCTTGGTTTACTTTTCTCCATAAGCATTTGGGATATTATGAGGAACGATGCATACTCACAAATATTGAGAGCAAATATCGAGAGCGATGGTGGTTGAATTCTAAAGACCCGTTCTAATGCTTGGCCATTTGCATTAATTTGACTGGAATTTGTGTGCGGGCGTACGTAACGTTACGAATCCGATGTAAAATTTAATTTCAAAACTTCATAGAATGGGTTAGAATACATGTGGCCACCCACTTTGAGGAAATTTAAATTTTTTAGGTGTCGAAAAAAATTAAAAAATAAAAAATTTCAAAACTTCACATAATGGTTTAGAATACTTGTGGCCACCCATTTCGAGAGAAATTTAATTTTTTTGAGATTTCACAAAAAAATTAAAAAAAATCAGAAATTTCAAAACTTCACAGAATGTCTTAGAATACATGTGGCCACCCGCTTTAAGAGAAATTTTAATTTTTTTAGGCGAAAAAAAAAATCAAAAAATTAAAAAATGAAAAATTTCAAAACTTCACAGAATGGCTTGGAATACCTGTGGCCACCCACTTTGAGTGAAATTTAATGTTTTTTTAGGTGACGAAATAAAAATTAGAAAAGCAAAAAATCAAAAATATCATTTGGGCACCTCAAAAATTTTATATTTCACACAAAGTGAGTGGCTACAAGTATTCTAAGCCATTATGTGAAGTTTTGAAATTGTTGATTTTTTTAATTTTTTTTGCACCTAAAAAAATTTAAATTTCGCTCAAAGTGGGTGGCCACAGGTATTCTATAAGCCATTCTATGAAGTTTTGAAATTTCTAATTTTTTTTAATTTTTTTTGAAATCTCAAAAAAATTAAATTTCTCTTGAAATGGTTGGCCACGGGTATTCTAAGCCATTCTGTGAAGTTTTGAAATTTTTAATTTTTTTTAATTTTTTTGGGCATCTCAAAAAAATTAAAATTTACTCAAAAAGTGGGTGGCCACAGGTATTCTAAGTCATTTAATGCAATTTTGAAATATTTTTTATTTTTTATTTTTTATTTTTTTGGGCACCTCAAAAAATTTAAATTTTACTCAAAGTGGGTGGCTACAGATATTCTAAGCAATTCTGTGAAGTTTTGAAATTTTTGATTTCGTGATTTTTTTTGAAAAAAGTCAACAAAATTCATATTATCCAGAAATCTGAATTTTTTTTATTTTCTCGACATTTTGATGATTTTTTCTGGAATTTTTCAATTTTTTGGGGTTTTCTGAATTTTTTGGAGATTTTTATGAATTTTTCGGATTTTTTAATTATTTTAATACCATTTCTAAAAAAATGGATTTATGTTCCTGGAAATAGAATTTTCTATTGTTTATCAAACGGGTTTTTGTTTCAGGAAATAGAAATTTTGTGCTGTTATCAAACGGGTTTCTATTCTAGAAATAGAAATTTTTGGTCGTTATCAAACGGGTTTTTTTTCTCAGAAACTCATCCAGGAACCAGAAATAGAAAAATCTATTTCTGGTTCAGGAACTCATTCCGGAATAGAATGGTTATCATTCGCTACCCAATCTACCGAGAGGATCCGAGGTGTCTCTCTCTATTAACTTGTTCCTTTTCATTTCACTTCTGGTGTTCGCCATCTACTGTTGTATATAAGGGTGAATGCTTGCCTCGGATCCTTGACTGCGATTTTCGTATCAAGTTAACTGCAATCGACTATAATGTGGAGGATACCTGGAAGTCATGATGTCTGCTGAGATATTAAATGAGGTTCTGACCTTGGATTCATTTCGGGAAAGTGCCTTTGGTTTTGAATTTACTGAAAATCCCTCAAACAGACAATTGCTAAGCACCGGTTTTTCTGCTGAAAATGAAAAAAAAATCAGTCAGATGCAGGGAATGATTTCTCAACATCTCCGACTATATCAAATAAAGTAGAGGTTAGCAGTGTGAAAAGCTAAGATTGTTAAAGACCTGTGGCAAAGCCCGGGATAATCCAACGTTGATACCTTCACATACCGGGAAATGAGGTTGGCGACGTAGCATTTCGGCCAGACATAATTTTCAGTGAAGGTGGGTTCGGAATTGTCTATAAAGGAATTCCGCTCCCAGCAAGATTGCTAAAACTAGCCAGGGCATTTGAACACATCCTACGCACGAACATTGGCCTACATTTTGTAGCCCAAATTCACTTCCAAAACTGTTTTTTTTAAGCAACACCAGAGAAAGAAGGCCTATCTATAACCCCATCATCATTCTGCTCCTTAACATAACAACAGGCAGACCTTATGGTGTATATTGAGGCACCAATGTTTTGGGATTCATGAGAGAAGGTGATTTTAATGAATCCATCTAAGTTGTTTCTTTATGTGCCGATATAATTCCAGGCACCGTTAATAGAAAAGTTGCCATCACGTTGTTCTGCACTGATATCTGAATTTCAGAATAATCTTTTTGACAACTCAATCTTAGGCACTCAATTAGGAATTCACCACATCATATGCAATCAATATCTTTTATTATTCTACGATAAGTATGCTTAATCAATACCTTGCAAATCAACGCTTGTTCGGTTAAAATGTCAGTGCACCCTCCCACCTAATTTCCCCAAGTGTCCGTCTTCAAGTTTCAAACTGAAGCAGAGCATGTCAAAATTCAGGGCCAATACTGGGTCTGTTATGTCTTTGGCACCCAACTACTAACTGACATGTGTCAGTCATCCCCCATATGTAGGGGTGACAGGTTTCAGGTTCCGGTTCGGTTCCGCTTGGAACCTGGAACCTACCCTCGGGTACAAGTTCCTCATTTTTTGGAACCTGGAACCTACCCGTCAGAACGCTGGAACCTACCCTGTCACAGGTTCCAGGGTCGGTTCCAGGTTCCAACAGGTTCTTTTTTTTAATTTCGTTTTTAATTAAACAAAACGAAAATAAACGCAATAATGACTAGTTATTAAAAAACAATATTTCGCTTAGTAGAAAGGGGATATTATCTAACAACCTAGATCCATTTATGCAGAATAGAAAACACCAAGAGTTCAGCATCATATAACTTTATTATCAATGGATCAGTGCAAATATATTTAGTAGAATGATTTTGTCAATAAAAGGCCAATTAGCAACACCAATAGCAAACCTCTTTAATCTAGGAAAGAAACTTAAAACAATATAATAGTGGAGGAGGCAAAAACTAGCTAATTAGGACTCAATATTGCAAAGAGATATCTTCTATACAAAAGCAATAGAGGACATATCGCAATGTCGTAAAAGCATTTATACAGCTAAGCCCCCTTTGTGCAAGGCTTACTTTGCTGATGTTCAACTTAAAAATCATTGGAAGGGATAAAACGAAAATAAATCAAAGGAAAACAATCCAAAGGTCCACCACTTAAGACATACATGTTTACTGTCAGAAATCTTCTTACTTTCGAACCGCATAGATCGGGCGGTGGCGGCCCAGACACAGTATGCAATCAACATTGTAGGAAATGCAAAATAGACGAAGAGGAAACGAAACCTACCTCTTGCAGCATAAATCATTGCCAATTCCTGAAACCGAATATCATAACAGATGCCTATACCAATACGTCCAACGTCTGCATAGAGCCAAAAAGAAAAGAAAAGAAAAGAAAACAACTCAAACAACAGATAGACCAGAAGACTCATGCAACTAAATGTTCCATACATAGTTACTTAAGGAAAGAAAAGTTACCTTGCGGTGCTTGGCTTTCAGAACTCCAATGGAACCAAAAACACAGCAAGCGTTGTACAATCGATCACCACATCTTTCTGGGATTGAACTGCCCACTATGGTAACCTTCAAGGCCTTAGCAGCTTCAGATAACATAGCAGTTGAAGGAGATGAACCTCCATCAATGTCCTCAGCATAAACAGGGAAGCTATCATTTGAATAGGGACTGTTCCATATTTCCTGGCACAGAGTCAACAAAACCATGAGGCAAGCTGCGTGATTTTTCCCTCCTTTTATAGAACGGTGCAGGCTGCAAATATGGCTGATTTTACTGGAAGCCAAAGCTTACAGTATAAAAACATAGCAATTACATAAGCATCAATAAGAACTTAGCCACAGAAAGTCACCCAAAACTGATGAAACAAACACGTGCCCGCTCAAGATGCTTTTATCCATTCTTTCTTCTAGTGCACGCCTTCACAAAAGGGCATTTGATAAGGTATACAAAGTTCTTGTAAGCGGTACGGCGGCGAGCGGCGGCTAAAGGGCGGTCCGGGTGGTGGTGGTGAGCGGCGGCGCCGGCGTGACTTCACGGTGGAAGATGAAGAAGTTCACGGTGGGGGAAAATTTCACGGGGGAGAGAGAGAACCGAATGGGGGAATGAGAGAGAGGAGAGAGAGAGAGAGTCTACGGTGGGGGGGGGGGGGAACTCACGGCAAGGGGAAGAGAGAGGAATGAGGAGAGAGAGAGTCTTATCTAGACTTAAATAGGAACTTTGACCTAAAAATATCTAAAGCAAAGATGACCAAAATGCCCCTTGCCCAAAACTAACCTTTTATAAATCCTTAAGGGCAAAATCGTCACTTTCTCCATTTCTCGTCGAAATCGAATTTTTCCGAAGAATTTGAGCGCACCAAAAATTGACACGTGTCACGTGCAACGTCGTCCTAACATTCCGGCGTGACTTCCTAATTTTCTGGTGTCCAATTTGGGCAAAAATTCAATAATTAAATTCTATTAAACGCATCTCGAGCGTTTCTCGAGCTAACGGGCGGCTTGCTGGGGAAATTCGCTAAATCGACTTATGACTGATACTAAATCGAGTCATGTGCAAGTCCGTTTGGTGCGTGATGACCTCGGTTGTCATTAAAATCGCGAAGATCAATCACTTGATCCGAGGGGTACGATCGTTCGGTATAATTTCAGAATCATTCGTGAAGTCGTTTCGTGGTCCAACGGAATCACCCGCGATCCACTACTAGGACAGTGGCGAACTGACCCCTAACTATCCTTGGACCGACCAACAGTGGCTCAAAATATCACTTACGCGATTTAATGGTCGAAATCCATTCACGATCGAATTTTCTTTAGTCGCGCGAATTTAATTCCCCTATTAGCCTTTCCCTAATGGTTAGCATTCCCAGGAATGATCAGTACCGGGCGAGAACTTACTACGAGCACATTTCATAAAACTCAGTTATTTCATAATTTTCAATTGGCGGAAATTTCGGAATGTCACACGAGCGATTGATGATCTTTGCCAGAAACGGCAAAAACTATTAATCCTATCTCCAAGCCAATGACAAATTTCATAAAGCATGCCAGAAGCTCAAGTTGCAAATTAAATGTCCAAAAGGACATGCCAATTGTGAATGTTCCACCAAGAAGTAAAAGTCAAAAGATCAAGTTCAAATCTTCTAATAAGAAAAGGTATAGATTTCTTCACAAATCAAACTTTCCCAAGAAGAAGAAGAAAGGAAACAAATGATTTATCTGTGGTCAAAAAGGACATTTTGCAAAAATATGTCCTAGGGAAACCAAGAAAAACAAGCACATCAATATGATCCAAAAGCTTAAAAGTACAACAGGTACTTCTCATGAAGATGATGATCTTGAATCAATCTTCTTCCTTGAAGATGAACCATCAGAGAATACCATTTGTGCTATTGAAACTTTTGACAGTGAAGATGGTCAGTCCTCTAGTGACACTGATGGTTTGTACTTCGTTAATATAGAACTTCCATCCAATTCTACGGACCAATACAATGAAATTATCCCTACCAATCCAAATCAAGAAGAAGCCGATAAGAGTTTCAAAATCACTCCATCCCATTGTCTGTATCTGCCCATATACATCATACCCACCAAGTACGATACGTCTATTCAGGTTATTGCACTTATTGACACAAGAGCTAGTGCATATATCCTAGATCCTAAAATTCTCCCTATTGAATTTTGGGAACCACATGTTAGGCACTTTTAGTCTACATCTGAAATAGGATTTTCTACAAAAGTAAGGAACAAGCCTTTAAGGATATAATTCTTTCCCAGTGTTCCATTACTACCAAAATTATTGGTTCCTCATACCCAAACCGAGACCTCATTGATGGTTGGGACTTTCTTACCCAATTACCCACGCTGCGGATACTTTCTCATGGTCTTTGCTTTAAAGACTAATTCAAGGAGTTTGTCGACATCAAAAGGATATACTCCCTGCTACCAACATAAGTAGATCCAATTTTGCAAAAATTACTAAGTGCATGTGCATAAACAAATTCAGAATTCTTGGAAAAATGCTTCAACCAATTATGAGAAAACTTTGACTTGTTTGTCCATTTGCCTTTTAAGAAGATTGAAGATATCAATCCAACAAAGGCAACCCATTCAGGGATGAACTCTGAAGATGCAACTTTAGCTCTTCAAGAATGCCAACTGTTATTCCAACAAGGATTAATTGAGCCCTCTCATTTTCAATGGGCATGTGAAGCTTTTTACGTTAACAAAAGAGCTTACCAGAATTGAGGAAAAACGAGATTGGTGATAAATTATCAACCTCTTAATCATTTTCTGCAAGATGACAAGTTTCCCTTGCCAAACAAAACAGCCTTGTTTGCATCCCTATCAAATGCAAAGATCTATTCCAAATTTGATCTTGAGGCAAGATTTTGGAAACTTGGCATCCACCCAGAAGATTGCCACAAAACAGGTTTTGCATTCCAAACTAGCATTACCAGTGGAAGGTACTTCATTTTGGCCTCAAACTGCACGTTCTCTTTTTGAGAAAGCCATGTGTAAGATATTTTAGCCAATTAGTGCTAGTTTGCAAATCTACGTTGATGATATTCTCTTATTAGTCCTGATGAAGAATCTCACTGTAAGATACTCGCCTAGTTTGCTAATATTATGAAGCAATATGGAATCATGCTTTCACAAGAGAAAACGGTGATAGCTTAAAAGGAAATTGAGTTCCTTGGCATACATCTCGAGAATGGTTCTAACTATCCCGCTGATCACATTGTAAAAGATTTGTTGAAGTTTCCCGACGAGAACCTTTCTCATAGACAAGTAAAATAGTTTCAAGGGAATTGTGAACTACCTAAGTGAATTTGTATCCAAAATCTCAAAGTTCATGCATCCCCTATAGAAGATGCTTAAGAAGAATCCTCCTCCGAGAAAATCTCAAACAATTGCAGTCAAGATACGCAAAGAAAAATTTTAACATTTGCCTCCATTACAAATTCCTTCCGATGGCAAGAGGATTCTTCAAACAGATGACAGTGATAAATATTGAGCATCAATCCTCTTAGCAGAAATGAAAAAAGGGCGAATATGCAGATTCAAGAGTGGGAGATTCACAAATGCTGAAATGCATTATCATTCCACTTTGAGGAAATCTTAGCAGTCAAGTATATAACTAAAATAATTTTCTTATCGGCTATCATTTTCTCGTAGAGATGGATATGTCTTCCTTCAACCAAATGATAAAGTTTTTTTTTTTTTGGTCAAAACCAAATGATGAAGTTTAAGTAGAAGCAAGTGCCCCATCCCCAATTGCTCAGATTGGTGAATGGTTTTCAAAACACCCATTTGAATCCAAGCATATCAAGGGTGATAAAAATGTCCTTGCAGATCTTCTATCCAGACCCAAAGAAGATTCTTCATTGTTTATGTATGTTTTTAGAAGTTTAAATGGCAGTTTTTAAACACGAGACATGGAGTCCAAATTTCTAAGAAGGATGTATCCTCGTGAAGTCCCATACTTGATCATGACTAATAGTCTTTTTGATAATCTCAAATACCTTATGTGGGAAGATTTGTACAAGATTTTAAGAAAATATGGTGGATTAAATCTTCGGCTAAGCGACATGCATCCGGGTTATCTATTCATTCATCCCATGTCTTTTTCTTCTGAAGATGAGTTCCCGAAAGAATTCAAATGGTTTTACTGGCATGTTTTTAATTGTCATACAGTAGCCATTGTGGTTCTAATAGTCAAGATGTCTGGAATCATCAGCCAAGCTCTTAGAGAATTTGGCAGAGAAAAATACATCCATTTTGATGAAATGCTTCGCTGGTTCTAGACATTAAGAGCATGGAAAACCTTATTCACAAAATAGCTAAGAACATGTAGACCTCAAACCCAGAATTGCACACAATTATTTTCTTTTATAGGCAGTTCATAAAACTAGATAGTACTCTCTCCAGGTACACTACAAATGTAGGCGTCACAAATTATAAAGCTCAATCCATGTACAAGACCCTTCCATGTTGTAAAGGAGCTTTACCACGAGACTACTGTGAAATACAACGAGTCCTATGTGAAACCAACCTCATCATTCCACTAGGAGTGTGGCCAAAAGATGACTTAGATATACCATGAGATTATCTTAGATATACCATGAGATCATTCGTGGGACTAAATCAGGACAATGCCCTCGACTGATTCTGCTCTAGCAGAATTCATACAAAACAATCCAGAACAGCCATCTTCATCCCAGGATCCATGGACTAGTCCACTTTCTCAAGATTTTTTTTATTATGGGTAAACACTTATGTCAGCCTCCATGAATATGGACAAATGGCTCCTGCCAGTGATGCCAGAAACACACTTTTCACTAAGCCTATGAGATCCTGCATCCTTGATGATTTTGATAACTGCACACAACCAATAATGCCAAATGACATCCCTTCAGGATATAATGATATTCCATCAAGTTCTTATCAATCCCCTCCTAAAAAGATGTGTCCAGCTTTTCTTGAGATTCTTCAAAATATTTTAGGGACCCTACCTGATCAGAAGAGCTTTGAAGAAGGACAGAGAGAAATGGAATGGGAAGGTCTTATAGACGCATAGAAAAGATGCATGAGATTGGTTGCTCTACTCCATCATTAGATAGTGATGACTAGTATTATTGGTGCTTGTCAGCCATATGTTGTTTGTTGGCCAAGTGTTACATTATTGATGTAAGTTTTTATTATTATTATTGTTTATACCTATATAAGGCATGGTTTGTAATGCTTCAGGGTAGAGAGCCTCCTAGGAATAAATCAATGTGTTTGAAAACAATACAAGGCTAATACCTCTCTTTCCTTCCAAATACATGTATGGTATTAGGGACCTTAGAGTGGTAAGATAGCACGTCACCTTGGTAGTATGCTCTGCACTCGCCTCTGTGAGGACCTTGTGCATTTGAAACTAAGGCCTCATATGCCTTGAATAAATGATAAAGCTGGATGGTAAAAGTTGGTAATGATTGAGTAAGGCCTTGGACATCATGAAGGACTAAATATCGGCATCAGTTTTAATATTGTTATGGGCCTTTTTGGTACCAGAGCCTGAAGTAAGTGATACACTATCCTTTTAAGATTTGTAATACCATAGGATTTGAAGGGAAGTAATTTGTTAATTATGAGTAAAGACCTCTCAGTTGTATCTCCTTCTCAAGTGGTAGCTATTCCAATCTTCCTTACCCCTACTAGTTCTTTTCCAAAATCTGAAGCTTCCAAAATTGATTTACTTTATGAGGTATCTTACCTCAATGAAGCAGTAAAGATTTTTCTAACTACTTCTCATCTTGTAAATCCTTATGCTACTTTTGCCAAACAAACATCTTCCTTTTCACCCATCCGCTCTGTCGTATAGCTAATTTGTCACACTCCCAAAGAGTTGAAAGATTATGTCTAGTCCACTTGATTTGATGAACATCCTATTCTTGCTACACAACAAAACAATTTGTTACTCTCCAAATTCCTCTTGAATTTTTACGACAATGGATTTAGCAAGGATACATTCATTTGCACTACAGTACAATTCATCTAGCCTTGTCATTACATGGTCGTAAAGGTCTGCTTGTTGTTGCTCGAATGGCTCTCCCAAACACAAGGTTTCTCAACTACCAACATACATGTATTAAAACAGTCATAACTACCTTGAATGCTAGAACAATATTTGTCACTCTACTTTTAAATTTCAATATGGCGCTTTCTATTATTTGATGCACACCCAAATACACATCCAGAGGTAATCTTGTTTCTTGTTTTTTTTTTCCCAATAAGTCCTAATATCCTCTAGTCAACGTTGATTTCGACATTGTTTGTCTCGTCCAATAGCCAATATCAGTACTGTTGTCGCATAGTCTGTAGAGCCTATTATCCAAGAAAGCGCCATTGAGTTACTCTTTCATTAGCAAAGCTAGCCGCATCAACTGCTTGCTATTTCCCTCCAATTCTCAGCTTGGTCATTACTATGCCAACCACACAGGCCACATCGTTCAATAACTGTTTTGAAAGCAAAGGCAAACTGCATCGGTTGCTGTTGTTACTATGCTAGCCGCTTCGACTGCGTTCGTCCAGTTACTCTTTTAGCCAGCAAAGCCAGCCGTATCAACCGCTTGTCGTTTTTCCTTTGATTCACAACCTCCGGCTACTTATATCAGAGAACCGATGCCACCACAAGACTCACCATTCTCAGACGAGGCAAATGCTCAAATCCCATCGGTGACAGTTTAGGCATCTTTTGGATTTTTTTTATCCAAACTTAAGCTAACTTAATTACTTTGAGTTTGAGGGGGATGTTAGAGATAATTAGGATAATTCTCCATGATATTTTCTTATTTTAGAGATAATTAAGATATTTCTATTGGTATTCTGTATCTCTCAAGATTGTGCGAAAATCTCCTTTTGATTGTGTATATTATGATTGATATATGTTACCTTAGATAGTCATCTTATAAAGCCTATTGATGTAATCTTCATTATGATATATCACTTTTTCGCATTATTCTTATCTTTCAGAAAGAGGATCCACTAGCCGCAAAACATCTCGAGCTAAGTTTGATGTATTCTTGAGTTTTCGAGGACCCGATACTCGTGCTAACTTCACAGATTCACTTTATCATGCCCTGCTAGATAAGGGTATCCATGTTTTCATAGACAAGGGGATCGACATTGGTGAAGAGATCGGCCCTGAGATTTTCCAGGCCATTGATAACTCGAAAATTTGCATTCCCATCTTCTCCAAAGGCTATGCCTCTAGTAGCTGGTGCTTGCGCGAGCTGGAATACATGATGGAGCGTAGGAAAACCAATGAACTAGAGGTTTTGCCCATTTTCTACGATGTAGAACCTTATGATGTGAAGCTTGAAACTAGAGTGTATAAAGATGCATTAACTCTGCATGAAGCAAAATTTGGGGCTGAGATTGTGCACCGCTGGGCGGAGGCACTCAAGGAGGTTACTAGAATCAAGGGATGGGACACCAAGAACACAGGGTATGTTACCTCATTCAACTCTATCTTCCCTTCTCAGTTTCTTTTGCTCGAATGTAATTATAATTTGAAGAGCATAATTTTTCTTTTGTTCTAGGCATGTAATACGTGTTTTTGTCAAGTTGTGATTGTTTTTTTTTTTTTGGTAAGGTAAGAGGATTATATACTTTTTAATTCACAAGATACAGCAGAAAAGCCGTACACAAAAGTTTCGTACCTAACGCAACACAGGTGTTGCGATAGGTGCAAAGGTGTAGCGGCTGACTAAAGCTAGCGGGCGCTACAAGCAATAGGGGCCCGGGAGTTAAGAAGAACGAGCTGAGCCTTTAACAAGCGGACTAAAGAGCCACAAAGGAGCAACAACTACAGAACATTAAGAAAAATAGATGTCGGGATGTCCCAGCTGGCCTGGATTCTTCTATTGCGCGGAGTATCTGCAACAGGCTTGAGAGAAAGAGCCTTATCTCGAACAGCTTTGACAAGATGGTTCCGCATCGCAGGCAGGAAAATGGTCCCATTTCTAAATAGGAAGTTGTTACGCTCTATCCAAATGAGGTGGCATAGAGCTCCAAGTGCAAACCGGGCAAGGCGGTGGTGGAAGCTGTTGCCGGCAATGGATGTGGACGCCCAGCGGAGAAGATGTTGCCAAGACCTGTTGTGCCAGGGGAGATTAAATTTGGCGGCCCAAAATGACGCCAAAGAGCCCGTATAAGTGCAACCAAAGACCAGGTGATCAACAGAGTCTGGCCTACCTTGGCAGTAAGCACAAAGTCCTTCAGAGATTCTGTGATAGGAAAGGAGGAGGACCTAGGTCGGAAGCCTGTTGAGGGTCATCAGCCATAGTAAAAAGCTATGTCTCGGGGCAAAACTGCAGTCCCAAATGAATGAATCCCAGTAAACATGGTGTCCCTTTTTCCGAGTTAAATCCCAGGCCAAGGAAACAGAGAACACTCCGGAAGGATGACCTTGCCAAATAAGTTGGTCCGGCGACTCCGTCACCAGCTGGGGGGTATGTTCAGTCCAGGAATTGAAGGATTGTATCACGTTAGACAGGTGCCATTCGGAGGACAGGAAATCCCTAACCGAGGCCGTTCTTGCAATGCCATAGCAGAATATGTGATTGTTAGAAACTCCATGATCTCAATGATTAAAAACCAATTGACATCGATGGATGGCCAATTAAAATATCAAATCTGACTTCGAATCAAAGGTAGATGGATTAATATGCCTTGAAGCTGAGGGACTTCACAAAATTCGAACTAATAAAATGCACAGGGAAATAATTGGAAAAAAATAAAAATTGCAAGGAACTTTTATTAAATCAGAACGAATTACTTATATTTTTGGATGCCATGCTTGCTCAATGATGGAAATTTTTTTATACGGACAATGATGGAATTTAAACACAAACTTCTTACTGGAAATTATTGAAGTGCGAAAGGGAAGTAAAGAGCTTACAAGACTCCACTAGAAAGACTTTACACTCAAAGACTAATATTGAACTTAGGAAAGCAAATCTAATTCGAGATCTAAATTCAAAATCTAAGTGAAGTTTTAATACGAAAGATTTTCTTCAAAACAGAAAGGACTCCCTAATTGATGCTGTAATTCTTGTTGAAATCGTCTTCAGAATTATGTCTCTGTGTTGTATAGATGATGCCGAGAGTTTCCATATGTTTGATTCCTCCTCTAATTTTAATGGACCATTCCATTGTGCATCCTGATCTTCTTCCACAAAAATCTCTAACTGTCTCTTAACTTAGATCCTATATTAAGGATGATTTGTGACCAATCCTGACCTTTTAACTATGGTTTTGCCTTGTTCGATGGAGCTTTCTTGAATCAGACTTTAATTTCCTTTAATGTTTCAAGTCATCCGATCGTTGTCACGTGCCATGATTTTCACTTAAACTCTATCAATTGAAAATTCACAGTCGTAAGCCCTTCAGACATTCCATTAATGGGCTTTGTAGGTCAAGTATACACTTATGATCTTTATGATTGACATGCTTTTCTAGGCATTCTATTGCGTGCGCCTTATGAGTTAAGTATATTATTACGATATGGTTTGGGCCATTAGCTTCTTTGTATTTAGGCCCTGCTGGGCCTGGTGTTAATGAGGCCGTAAACTGGAGGTGACTATTGGTCTAGATTCCACTTGAGAACCCGCAGGAGCTGGACTTATGGATCCAATTCAAAGCTGATTTCTAGGAGAATCGGGTTGGTTCATGGGTTCAAAACCCGACAACCGACCAGATTCGATTGGGCTCCCGGTTTGAGCCTTGAGCATACTAGTTCTATAGAGTAACAGTGTCAATGGATCAGTTTTCTTAAAAACCCAAACTGGCATGCAAGCATTTAGCACATATAGCTTGAATCAATGATTCAAGCCCTTTCGAACCGACCTGAAGTTTATGTTTCAGTTTGGGTGAGTTTTTGGTTCATAATCAGTTTCCATCTTTTTTGTTTTCTTGTCCTTTTCCGCCACTTTTCACTTTTACCCACCGAAATATGATTTCTCCAAGAATTGAAAATCTTTGAAAATGATGGAATCGATGAATGTTATGGAAAAAAGACGTTTCTTGTTAATTTTGGATAGGAATGTAAATGGCTGTAAAAGTAAAGAAATTGAAATGCATGTGCTGGAAATTAAAGGTTGCTAGAAAAGCAAACAATACGAAAATTTAATGTGCTAGAAAGGTGATAAATTTGCAAGAACAGATGTTATGTGATTGATTGGGCGAACCTTTACAAATATTACGACGTGGGCTTTTCTATCCCACTGACAAGGGTTATTTACAAACAGATATAGAACATCTTTTCGCAGAGACTTATTTCCTGTTCTTCTTCTTTTTTTTTTCAAAGGCCAATATGGCTCATTTTAGAAAAAAATATATTAAAGTATTACTTTTTCCCCAATTCTGTTTCCTTACCCACTTTCAGATCTGATTTAATTCATACTATTTTCAATTTCAATGGTTCGGTTTTGCTTATCGGATTTGGACTGAAAGTTGAACAGACCCATAGTAGTGATGTATTTTGACCTGGGCCGACCACTTCGGTTCTCGGATAAAATCGGCTTTGAATCGGTCTATAGACATTTATTTTTAGGAAATTTGCTCTATTTAATACCATGCTCAGCCCATCTTAAATTCCAACTAAATAAGGCCACACCCACCCTTAAACTCAACTCTCGCCCAGCCCGCACAATGAATCAAAACAAAACTTAAACTTATAAAACTAAAACATGAACAAAAAGAAGTTAGAATCCTGGCCTCTGCCTCTCTCATTCTCATTCTCTCACTCAAATCTCTCGACTCTCTATGTCTCTCAGCTCTCGGTTCTTAAAGCCACTGGATATAATATAATTGTGAAGTACAACTTTCTCTAAATGGGGAATTCAAAAAAATTTAAAAGGAAAAAATTGGGGGCTGGTTCGGTTCCAAGTTGGTTGTAGGTGGACTGGTTCAATTTCCAATTCCAAAAAACTTGGAATGGCCCCCAGTTCGGTTCTTGGCTCTGACTTTTGAAGAGGACCACCTGAATTATGCTCACTTCTAATAAACTGTGTGATGAATATTGGACAAAACCATCTTACACTTCATGATCTTGATTATCACCTTCATTAACTATCCATTGTATCGTATTACTACAATTGAATCAATTTGGAAAGTCATGCCATTATTTTCCCTTTATGTCCCGCATTTTGTGGCTAACTCCTAACTCAAAACATCAAATGATCTTGTCTATGCACATGTCAATCTGAAGTAACTTCATTATACTCTTCCTACTGACATGCAGCCATGGAGAACTCACACAACTGATAGCTCGGAAAGTTTTAGTTAAGCTTAAGGTGTCCCCGGTACATCTGCCTTGTCATTTGGTCGGGATTGACCAATCAGTGGATGAAGTAATTGATTTGTTGAGTGTTAAATCTAAGGACATAAGACTTGTTGGAATATGTGGCATAGGTGGTATAGGCAAGACAACTCTTACCAAGGTGGTTTACCACAAACTGTCAACTCATTTTGAAAGTTGTAGCTTTATCCCAGATGTTCGACAAGCATCAGAAAGTTCAAGTTTTGGGCTTCTAAATTTGCAAAAGCAACTAGTGCATGATATCCTTGGGGACAAAACAATTGAGGTTTCTAGCATCGACGAAGGGAAAAATATGATCAAAGAAAGATTTAGCAGAAAGAAAGTTCTTATTTTCCTTGATGATGTAAGTCATAGGAGCCAACTAATGGCAATAGCAGCAAAGAGAGAATGGCTTGGGCCAGGAAGTAGAATTGTGGTTACAACGAGAGACAAAAATGTTTTGTCTGCATTTCTGGATATGTTTGAGAATAGTTCGACTTATGAAGTTGAAGGGCTGAACAGTCAAGAATCTTTACAACTTTTTAGCGAGCATGCATTTAGAAGAACTCTCCTCCAAGAGACTTTCTTAGTCTATTTGAGAATATCACTGCAAAAACTGGGGGGCTTCCTTTGACTATTGAATTGATGGGTTCATTTTTATACCTAAAAGGAAAAGCAGCGTGGGAAGATACAATAAAAAAGATGGAAGACTCTCTTCATGAGGACGTGGAGAAAAAGTTAATGTTGAGTTATGAGGCTTTAGATGACAAGCAAAAGCAAATATTTCTTGATATTGCTTGCTTTCTAGCCGGAGAAAAGAAGAGAAATGCAACTTATATGTGGGATGATTGTGAATTGTTTCCGGATGAGGGGATTGAAGTCCTACTTTTAATGTCCTTAATAAAAATTGGAGTAAAGAATGAGTTATGGATGCATGACCAACTTAAGAACTTAGGTAGGAGCATTGTACGTTCTGAAAATCGCCACGATCCAGGAAAGCGTTCTCGGGTGTGGAATCATGAAGAAGCATTGGATATGATCACCAGCAAGAAGGTAAAGCTAATCAACACTAATTTTTTTATAGCATAAATCTGCCTAGAATTCTTCTTTTGTACTTCAGCGGAAACCCTCCATTGGACTGACTTCATTTTGGCACCGTATGAAGCAAAACTGTTGTGGAAGCCAATTTTCCCTTTGCCTGGTTAATGGGAAACTCTTTTTCTTCGTGACAGGGAACTAAGACTGTTGAAGCGATTTGTGTGAACTTTGATGGGATTCTAACACCAGGAGAATTTATGGATGTGCCAAATATGAGATTTCTTCAAATGATAAGTGGAAATCTCTCCGGAGACTATGAGGATCTCTTTCCAAAAGTGAGATGGCTTTCTTGGAAGAATTGTCCTTCAAATTTGCAAGCAACCAACTTTTGTCCCAAAAATCTACTCATCCTTGACCTATCGCGCACTGACATAACAGAAAGCTGGAACGGTTGGACTCAACTTGAGGTATAGGCAAATTTTTTGGTACAATATTTATGTACTGCAGGCACAGGAGCATAGAAGACTGATGAGAAGAGAAGAGCCTATAGAAGGTGCACTGCAAGCTAAAGTGAAGTTCAATAATGGAGACGAAGGGAAGAAATGGAATCAGTTCAAAGGGAATGCAGGTGACTCCAAGTTTGCAGCAAAAGAAGGAAGTTCTAGTGGGTCTGTCAAATGGAAGAAGAACAAGAAGCCTTGTGAACATTGTGGTGGAACAAATCATTAATCCTTTAGATGCTGGAGGAAGCTTGATGCTAAGTGCAGAAGATGTCACAAGGTTGGTCACATGGAAGCTATCTGCAAAGAGAACAATCACCAGCAAGCAGGAGAAGCACAAATAGCAGTGAATGAGACTGAGGAAGAACACTTGTTTGTAGCTTCCTATTCTGGTTCTCCTGTTGAGAATGATGCATGGCTGGTGGATAGTGGCTGTACCAATCATATGACTGGCAATTTAAAGCTGTTTAGGAGACTAGACAGGTCAATCAGGTCCAGAGTCAGAATTGGCAATGGACAGTATATCGAAGTGCAAGGGAAGGGTACAGTGGCTATTGAAGGAAATCAGGAGGTGAAGCTGATAAGTGATGTTCTTTTTGTGCCAAAAGCTGACCAGAATCTCGAGTGTTGGTCAATTAGTTGAGAGGGGCTATAAGGTGAAGTTTGAAGTGAAGGAATGCCTTATTGATAATGCATATAGCAAGGAAGTGCTGAGAATGCCAATGAATGACAAGTGCTTCCTGTTCAAGCCACAAGAGATGCAACAAATAGCTTTGAAGTGCAAAGAAGAAAATGCAGAGCTATGGCATAAAAGGCTTGGGCATGTTCATAGGAAGAACATGTTGTTTATGCAGAGGAATAGCTTAGCAGATGACTTGCCAAGTTTGGAAGAGGAATTTCCACAGTGCAAAACTTGTCTTCTTGGTAAGCAAGCCAGATTTCCTTTCAAAGAAGGAGGCTGGAGAGCATGTGAGAAGCTGCAATTAGTCCACAGAGACTTATGTGGACCTATGTTTGAGTCATCTCTCAGTGGTAGTAGGTATTTCATTACTTTCATAGATGACATGACTAGGATGAGCTGGATTTACTTTCTGCAAGCCAAGTCTGAAGTTGCTGATGTGTTAGTTAAGTTCAAAGCCTTAGTTGAGAGTCAGAGTGGGAAGAAAATCCAAATGCTCAGGTCTAATAATGGTTATGAGTATACTGCTCACAAATTTAAGTTAAACTGTGAGCAAGCAGGCATTGTGCAGCATTCACTCCTTCTTATTCACCTCAACAGAATGGGGTCAGTGAGAGGAAAAACAGAAACATTATGGAGATGGCCAGATGTATGATGCGGGAGAAGATGTTACCTAAGAAGTTCTGGGCTGAGGCAGCTAATACTGTAGTGTTCCTGTTGAACAGATTACCCGCAAAGGCCTTAAAGAGGTCAACGCCTTTTGAAGTTTGGTATGGTGTTAGACCTTCTGTGAAGAATTTGAAGGTTTTTGGGTGTTTGTGTTATAGTCATGTTCCTCAGGTCAAGAGGGACAAGCTGGATCAAAGAGCTAAGCCTGGAGTCTTCATTGGGTACAGTCTCCAATCAAAGGCTTACAGGATTTTTCAGCCTATGACAGGGAAGGTGACTGTGAGCGGAGATGTTGTTTTTCTAGAGGAAGATGAGTGGAATTGGATGGAAGAAAAGAATGCAAGATAGCAGCAATCTGCAGAACAACAACCTGCAACAATTGTACAGGTTGATGAAGTTGTGGATGGATTGGAAGATACTATGGATGAACTGCCAATAAGAGGCACAAGGTCACTTGCTGAAATTTATGAAAGAAACAATGTGGTAGTGCTTGAACCAGCCAACTTTGTGGAAGCTAAGGAGGATCAAAGATGGATTGTAGCAATGCAGGAGGAGTTGGCAATGATTCAGAAAAACCACACATGGGAGCTTGTTGACAGACCATTTGATAAGAATGTGATTGGGGTTAAGTGGGTGTTCTGAACAAAACTTAATCCTGATGGTTCTGTCAATAAATACAAAGCTAGACTGGTTGTGAAAGGCCATGCTCATATATGGGGAGTAGACTATTCTGAGACTTTTGCTCCTATTGCACGACTTGATACAATCAGACTACTGTTAGCTGTTACAGTAGAGAAGGGGTGGCCTATATTTCAGTTAGATGTCAAGTTTGCATTTCTGAATGGAGAGCTCGAGGAGGAGATTTTTGTTGAACAACCTGAAGGCTTCAGTATCAAAGGGCAAGAAGAGAAGGTATACAGATTGAGGAAAGCTCTATATGGACTGAAGCAAGCTCCAAGAGCTTGGTATGGGAAGATAGATAGATACTTGCAGGATTTTGGCTTTGTAAGAAGCTTGAGTGAGTTCGCTCTTTATGTCAAGAGGGTGAATCATAGTGTTGTAATTCTGTCACTCTATGTAGATGATTTGTTGGTGACAGGGAATGATGTGGAACTGATAGAGAGGGTGAAGCAAGGTCTATTTGCAGTTTTTGAGATGTCAGACTTGGGAAAGATGGCTTATTTCCTGGGTTTGGAAATCAAACAAGCTTCACATGAGATCTTCATTTGCCAAAAAAAAAAATACATGAAAGAAATTCTGAAGAAGTTTCAGATGGAAGATTGTAGAAGTGTAAGCACTCCTATGGCTGCTAAGGAGAAGCTGCAGAAGAATGATGGAACAGATGCAGTAGATGCTTCTATGTATAGAAGCTTGATTAGATGTCTCATGTATCTTACAGCAACTAGACCAGATATTCTATTTGATGTGAGTGTTCTATCCAGGTTCATGAGTAGTCCCAGTCAGTTACATTTGGTTACTACAAAAAGGGTCTTGAGATATCTCAAAGGAACATTGTTCTTTGGTGTGAAGTTTAGGAAATGCCAGAAGTTTAAGTTGCAGGGCTTTTTTGATAGTGACTGGGCTGGCTCAATGGATGACATGAAGAGTACATCTGGGTACTGCTTCACTCTTGGTTCTGCTTGTTTCTCCTGATGTTCAAAAAAGCCGGAGATTGTAGCTTAGTCCACTGCAGAGGCTGAGTTTATAGCAGCTACTGTAGCTGCAAATCAAGCTTTGTGGCTGAAGAAGATAATGAAGGATCTGTGGTTGAATTCTAGTGATGGCATTGAAGTTTATGTGGACAATCAGGCTACATTAGCAATTTCACAAAATCCAATTTTCCATGGCAAAACCAAGCATTTTAAGGTCAAATTCTTCTTTCTGCGTGAAGTGCAACAAAGTGGTGAAGTTAAGTTGGTTTATTGCAGATCAGAAGATCAGCTTGCAGACATGTTCACAAAGCCACTTCAAGCTGGAAGATTTGAGCTGTTAAGAGAGAAAATAGGAGTTTGCAGCAGCAACTGATCCAAGGAGGAGTTTGTTGGAGCTGTGTCTCAGTGCTGCTGCTGATGTCCTGTCATTTTAGTTTTTTTTCTTTGTTATTCAGTCAAGTTTGGTTGTTAGGCAGTTGGTTTGTTAGCTATTTTCTAGGAAGTGGAACAAGTCAGTTTTGCACGTTTGTGTGCAGTTCTAAAAGGTTCCTATTTTGCTTGTACTTGACAGTTTTCGGAAGAATGAAGAAAAAGGTTTTTCATTCTCTCTCTGTAAAAACTAGAAGTTTGTGTGAATTAGCTGAATATATCAGCAATAACACGGCAGAGGGTTGCGGTGGACGGCGGGCGGCGGAGGACGGCAGGCGGCAGTGTCTAATGTCATATTTGTTGAACAGGCCCTCAAGTTCATTCCCTGTTCGCATTGTCTCATTTGTGTCCGGACAAGGGCGTACTAGGAGAACAATGGACCGACAATATAGTTTAGTCAATAGATATTTGTGAAATATGTAGGGTGGACATTTGAATGTATTTCTATTAGGATAATTTCGCGCTTGAAAAACTCCTAAAATGTCAAAGATATTAGCGACGGAACTCTTGAAAGCCTTTTGAAATAACGAAATATCGACCAAAATTTTCATGATTTTTTTCAATTTAAGATGATTTGTTTTCATTCTCCGGATTTCGAAGAGAAAGTCGCAGGCAGAGGGAGATTCGATGGTCGAGCCCAACAATTTATAAGACCGGCACGGTATGTAATCTTGAATGTCGGGTCAAAAGGAAAACTTTCAGTCGTTGGATGATTTCAAAAAGGTGGGGACTTACCGACATTTGAGGAAATTATCTTTCTTAACACTATCCTCACACGTAATAAGGCCTCAGAAGTGCAATCGCGAATCGAATATGGCCATATGAAGAGAACGAGGCCCGACGACGAGAGAAAAGGCTTAGACGTATTACTGTCTATAACTAGGTGAGTAATAAGATCTGGAGCTACGATGAATAGTGACGAGTCTATCTTAGAGCACCAATTTATCATAAGACCTTATTATTTAGGTGAGCCTAGGTGTCTCTCCCAGGCCGTTTATAAATAGACCTTTCTTGCTTCCAGCTTCCTTCCGTTTATTGGTCAACAAGAATGGACAGAGATAACTCGCTCTCATCGTGTTACTCGTCATCAATATTATCTCAAATGTTCAACACCCCAATAACCTGTAGGCACATACGTTATCCAAAAGAAACGGGCTTTTTCCCTCTTTTGGAGCATTTGAAAACGAGTTTCTTACCATCGCGCAGTTCTTAATGCGGCTTTCTCACATTTGTTTTCCTCTTTCTTCCAACTTTCTTTCGTTCATTCCTCAACAAGAACTACCCACCAAACAAGAAAGAAAGAATGGACAGAGATTACTCACCTTCATCATCTTCGTTGTCATTTTCATCTCGTTCTGATAGCAGCAAGCACAAGAACCATCCACGAGCCTCTCTCTCAAGCAACAGCGCGTGCTCATCATCAACAAGAAGTGGGAGGTGCCATGCATTTGGCATGCAGTTGTTGTGTGGATGTCATACAGGTTGCCATGCATTTGGCGTGCAGGTACTAATGCAGAGGAAGGAGAGAATTGTTGTTGATTTTC